CCCTGCCCCCCACCTTCTTCCTGGCCAGAGAACAACGGGACATCCCCAGAGAGGCCTTCTTGGGCCGACAGGTGCACAGAGCAGGGTAGATGGCCACTGGCCTCCACAAGCTCCCAGCCCCAAGGCTATTAGGCATTTGATGACCCTAGACTGTTCGATCTACTTCCAGAACTGCAGCCTGAAGGTCACTTGCCCTGAGGCTCTTTGAAAGAACACCAGGCTCTGGCCCTCTCCCCAGCACCTCTGGGTCTGAGAAGCATTTGTTTGTTTGTTTATAAAGGCCAAATAATGTTACCATATCGCCCCAAATAATGGAAAACAAAGGTCTGAAAAATAATAAGCCGTTATCCCACCACCCAGACCCAACTACTGCTTACATATTAGTATGTTTCCTTTTAGGCTCAGGCCCAGGTTTGTTTCATGGTGTAATCCAAGTTAATGCTTCCCTTCACACTGTGGTCTCCTTACTTAACATGGTTACATGGACCTTTCTCTTGCGATTACATAGACTTCATACACAGCACTATTGATACTTGAGAATCATCCACACTCGGGATATACTTTAATTTATTCAACCCATTCCTCCCCCTCTATTTACCCTGGTAAATAACGCCACAGTGAACATCTCCACGCACACAGCTTGGTCGAGCTCCTCTGGAGAGCATCCCAGAAGTAGAATTCTAGGTGAGAAGACATGCCCTCCTTGACACATGTGTCTGTATTGTGGATTTGGAGCAAAGTTATTCTCAATTCATCCTAAGTCCCGGCAGATATGCATGGGCATGGGAGGTGGTAACAAGTGTTTCCCAGACAGTGCAGGCTTGCAGACTTCACCAGGTGCCCCTAATTATGGGGGCAGGGAATGTGAATTGGAGACAAAAGGAGCTCAGGGCTCCTGCTTCCAGAGTCCCTAACACGGGGCCCCCAGGGACCTGTCTTACGGAGGGGGCCACTCCTTGTTGGTAATTAGCGCCATCCATCTGCAGGGAGATCTGCAGCGAGCGGAAGCCCTTTAAAGCAATTTGCTCTTTTAATATCACCCCTGTGATCTCATTTAATTTTCTCAACCAAACTTTTGTTTACTAGGATGCCAAAGGCTCCTGTGCTCTCCTAGCGCGGGCTGAGTTCTCACCCTTTCCAAACGGTGGGTCTGACTCCAGCAGCTCTGCTGAGCATTGTTTTGCCTCTGGCAGTTTGGATTCCAAGCAGAAGAGCTGTCCCTGTCCAGCTCAAAAGGGAAGAGTATAGTGTAAGAGATGTGGCTTTAAAGGTATGCAGACAGGCCACCACGGCTCCCAACTCTGAGCCCACACAGGGGGAAGGCAAGTGATTATTTACTGAGTCATACTCTGTGACATTTTGTGTATATGTCGGCAGGTCCCAGATAATCCTCCCATGAACTCTGTCGGGTTGGTGTATGACCACCCCATTTTACAGACCAGGAAACTGAGGCTCTGGGTCACGATGACTTGCCAAGGAAGGTCCCTACCGTGTCCCCTTCCTTGAGTGATCACCAGGTGACACTCTGTAGGGACCTGGGGTGCTGCTATCACAATGTAATACACCAGAGGTTATGGGGTAAGTGGCTGTGTGCCTGCCATACGTTTGTGCCACTGCCCCTCACAGAGCCACTCTGGGCCTGGCCCCGACTCCTCTAGGAAGGGAGACTCAGCTGAGCCAGCAGAGCTTCCAGGCTGTCAGCAGCCAGGCTGGGAGAGAGGGAGCCACTGTGATTTATGGCCACCTCATCCCCCAGTGCCCTGCCCAGGCCATTGTACGTACTGACTAATGGAAGCCCAGCACAGAGGGAAATAATTCTGCCAGGAGCAGGCTCCAGTGACGGGGCAAGCACCATGGCCATGGGGTGAGGACTGGATAGGGAACAGAGGGAACTGAGGCAGAGGCCAGAGACAGAGGCACATTGAAGGCTCTGAGAAAACAGATGGAGCCAGTCAGGGACTCAGGGGTGCAGAGGGTGGTACCGCCTGGCAGCCCAGTCCCTGGACCAGCTTCTCCAGGGCCCTAGTGGGGAGCCGAGAGGTGAGCCAGGAGCCCAAGGTCCCAGGTGCCCACCAGCACACCAATCTGAACATTTGGTAGGTTTTTTTTTTTTCCCTATCTATTTATTTATTTTTGGCTGTGTTGGGTCTTCGTTGCTGTGTGCAGGCTTTCTCTAGTTGCGGTGAGCAGGGCTGCTCTTCTTTGCGGTGCGCGGGCTTTTCATTGTGGTGGCTTCTCTTGTTGCGGAGCACGGGCTCTAGGTTCGTGGGCTTCAGTAGTTGTGGCACGTGGGCTCAGTAGTTGTGACTCGTAGACTCTAGAGCGCAGGCTCAGTAGTTGTGGTGCACGGGCTTAGCTGCTCCGCGGCATGTGGGATCTTCTCGGACCAGGGCTCAAACCCATGTCCCCTGCGTTGGCAGGCAAATTCTTAACCACTGCACCACCAGGGAAGTCCCATTTGGTAGGTTTTGATATTCACAGAACCTCAGAACTTCTCACCTAACCCCTCAATGACAGATGGGCAAGCAGGGGCCCAGAGAGAGTCAGGGACTTGTCCAAGGTCACACAGCAGTCAATTACTGAGCTGAGACAAGAGCCCAGGTTCCCTGCCTCCTTGGGATGTCACAAGAACACTCCAGCCAGTGTGGAGCTTATTGGGGTGGAAAGGAAGACCACGAAGAAGGCAGAGAGGTTGAGGCAAAGCAGAGAATGTGGAGTTGGTGGTTGGGGGGCAGTGAGGGTCCAGGGAGAAGGAAGGGCACGGGGATTAAGGAGGTCTACTAAGAAGGAGGATTGAGACAGCCCCAGGAGTGGGAGGGGAAGGGGGTGTCTAGTGTCCTCTATCCTGGCAGGGGCAGGTTAAGGAGGGACCCTGGAAGAACACACCGTGATGGAGCCCTCTGTTAATTAGCAGGTGCTCCCTGAGGTTCTCTGCCTAGCACTGAGGGGCGAGCAGGGGGAGAGGCACCCGAAGATCTCTCCTTGTTCTTCTCCACTGGCGTCTGCCAGCCGGTGTGCCTGGCCTCACGGTGGGAAGAGAAAAGCCCTGGGGTTGAACCCCAGCTTTGCCACCAACTCAGCCACCAGCTCACCAGGCCCACCATTCACCTCTCTTGAGCCTCTGTTTCCTTATCTGTTAAATGGGATCATTCTGCCCAAAGAGAAAGTGAATCGGGCAATTTGGGCTGAGAGGAAGTCTAAGTGAAGAGGAGGCGCTGGCCTCAGGTCAGGGGTCTAAGGACCCCCGGTGCCCCTTTTGGACCCTTCTCCACTCCGGGCTCACCCAGGCCAGTCACATAGGTAGCTAGTGCCTCCGTGATGGGTCCCATCTGTGAAATGGGCAGAATCAGGCCACGTCCCCAGGCTCCCGGCTCCCTGCCAGTCCCTGGCAGGAAGGCATCCCCAGCTGGGCAGTGAGCTCTCGCCTCCTCATGCCAGGTGCTGCACAGAGGGGCCACGTGGGTTTGGAAGGTGTTGCCCCTGGCTGGGGGCCCAGCAGCCGTCTGGGGCCTGACAACCAGGGCAGAGAAAACAACCCGCACATGTTGCAGGGCTGAGATGAGGCTTGGTCCCCTCCCTGGAACCAGGGTGGGCTGTTGCCAGGTGTGTGGGGGAGTCTGCCAGGTCACCTGGCCGCGGCGGCTTCCACAGACACCTAGCAAGCCTGCTACACACCAGGCCTGTGCCGAAGCCTCTCATACATGTGATCCGTCGGAGATAAGTGAGGTCCTGATGCCCACTTTACAGACAAGAAAACAGAGGCCCAGGGACTTGAAGCAACATGTCCAAGAACAGCACTGCTTTACTGGGGAATTGTCATTGTACTAAGTATTCCACACATAGTCCCACTCATTCTTCCCAGTTATCCTCTAGGCTAGGGGCTGATACAGGTGAAGAAACCAAGGCCCGAAGAGGTAAAGCCTCGCGCCTAAAATCCCACAGCTGTTGATGCTGAGTCTCTCCTGGGTGCATGTGGCTCTTTCCACCGAGAGCGAGGGCCTCACCCTCCTGATGCCTCAGCTCCAGCCAGGGCTCCCCGGTTCTGGGTCTAGGCTGGAGGAATCTGTGCGTTGCCTCATGCTGGCCTCTGGCTGCCAGCAGGGCCGGGGTGCAGCCCTCGTGGTCTCAACCACTTTTGCTTCTAGAGTGTCCAGAGGCCACCCCACGTCCCTCCAAACCAGCCCTGCGGCCCCTCCAGGATACCTGGCCTCTCACTGAGCTGTGTGGAGGGGCTGGCTTCCCTTGTGCCTTTCCCAGAACCCTCCACTCCTGCCAAGCCAAGAGCAGCGGGATAAGCCATGTACTTGAAGAGTGTCATTTCAGAGGAAGAAGTACTTCCAAAGAGAGGAGGGGACTTGTCCAAGGTCACACAGCTGGGGGCATTCCAGGGAACCTTGCTGGAGTTCCCTCAGAGAAAGGGCAGGAGGAACCAAGGATGGGCTTTGCCCAGCCGGCTACCACCCATGCCCATCTGCCCCCAGGGTCCCCTGGGTCCCCACCCCAACATTGCCTTTTCTCTTGGGGTTGATGCCCAGCAGAGGATTCACCTAATAGGTAAAGGCTTCTTCCCCAGAGAACTAAGCATCCACAGCCCCCCTTTGTCCTCCCTGCCCAAGGACCCTCCAGTCACCCCCCTGTCCAAGAGGCAGCTGGCAGGTAACAAAGAATAGGCTGAACCTCAGGGCAGGTGGCCGCATGGGGCCACATGAGCCAGATGTCACCAGATTCACACGAGTGAGCTGGGTTAGAAATGGGCCAGCCTCACCTCACGGACCGGGTGGAAGAAGGGTAAGTGTAGTTGTTCATTAGAAAAATCACAATGACTAATCTTAGACTTGGACAGCCCTTTATAGGTTATAAAACACTTTCACATCTTTAAGAAGAATGCACTGTTCACCCACCTGAATATTAAGAAACTGAGGCCCAGAGAGATGAATTTAGTATATGGGCAGCTCTTCAACCCTAACCAAGTCCGGCATGAGTTTTCTGAGCAGCGCAGCCAGGCCCTGTGCCGATTACTTTCACATTTGTGACTCTGTTTACCTGAACAACAGGCCTGGGAGATTGACTTGGGTCTCCCCATTTTATAGAGAAGGAACTCAGGTCACAGAGAAAACCTGTGGGCACAGAGCCTCAGCCACCTCCAAACTCAGCCAGGTCAGTGGGCCTGGGTCCTCTGCCCCACTCCTGACATTTAGGGGCAGACAGCCCCGGGCAGCTCCAAGGCTGCCCATCTGAGACGTGGGAGAACACTGTCTGCTGGGGAGAATGCCTGGAACAACAGCATGGTTTGGGTTTAAGCCAGAGCCTCTAGGAGACAAGCAGACCTTTGTCATTGTCCCTACTGGCAGACAGAGGTAGGGGCTCACAGGGTCAGGGGTGGAGTCTCCGGTGCCCAGTCCCTTTCGTGGCCCAGCATAGGGTGGCCACTGCTCCTGCCTCCCGCCTGAGGATGGCTTCTCCAGTTTTGCCAACCGTCTTCAGCACCCTTGTTTCCATGCCTGAGAGCCACACCTCAGCTCAAGCAACCACACCTGAGACATCCAGTGTTCCTTTCTAGGGGCCCCACCATGGGGGCAGCGAACAGGGCTGTTCAGGGATCTCCCCTCCCCACAGTCCCAGGGAGGAGGTCGTAGTAGGTGGAGGCTAGAGAGGAAGGCTGGGCCTGGTAGTTTAGAGGCCTCTGACGGCTCCGGGTGTGGCCTATAATCCCGCTGGCTGGCCTCCCTGTTCCCTAATTAAAGTGTCCTTTTGAAAATGCCCTCCGGTCCAGGCCTGGCACTGCTGGGTGAGGCAGAGGCACCTCCCAGAAAGCTCAGCAGCTCTCACAGCTTCCCTGGAGGGCCTCTGAGCTCAGGACCTTTGGTCATCCTGGTGAGGCTAGGGGTGGGGGATGGGGGGGTCACGAGAAGGTGAGGACCGCAGGGTTGTGCCTGTCCTGTCATGGTCACCGTCCTCCCACACCCACCTCTTTCCAACACCCCTTGCTGAAGGCAGAAGGCCGTCCTTGTTTAAGAGGCTGGAGAGCCTGGATCAAAGGCGCTATTGAAGAGGCTTGTCGGAGCGGGGGACGCCAGGGGCAGAAGATGTGGGGGGGAGGAGGGGGAGAGGTAACAAGGAGACTTGAGTCACTACAGGCCAATTGTGGTGAGTGGGCAGTGGGTGGCTGGAGCCAGCTTTTTGGGCTGGGAGGAGAGCCCAGCCAAGGGGCCCAGGAAGGGGCATGTGGGCAGCTCGGGGCCATGTGGAGAGGTTTCCGCTGCTGCGTCTGGGGCACCTCCACCAGTGAGCAAGCCTGTTCCCCCACAGTCCCTTATGAAAGCCACCTTCTGGTCAGAGCAGCAGATCAGCCAGCTGGGTGAGTACTGCAGGGCCTGGAGGGAGCCTTAAGGGAGTCTTTCCCACACAGGAAGCCCGGAGTTGACAAGGCTGGGCTGAGGATGCAGTGGGAAGTGGCAGGTTGGCATCCACAGAGGATGGGTCATTAAGGAATAAGAGTCACCCCATTACTGGGGCAAGTCACCCCAGCTCTCTGGGCTCCACTTTCCCCTCGAGTAACTGAGGTTGAGTGGGAACTAATCAGATCAGGGATGGTGGAATCTTCTTCATTGCTTGATTGGTATGGCTGTGTGGTCCTGGGCTGAGAAGGAATCTGAGGCCCTGTCCAGGCCTGCCATGATTGATGATCAATTAGTGATGTCTGTCACAGCCTTGGGATGGGCCAGGCTGCTGTGTATTTGCCCCTGAACTAGATTTTCTCTATAGCCCTTACATACTAACATCCTGAGATTCTGAGACCGACAAGGTCACCCACATCCTAGCTCTGCTTCTGGATCCTGAGACACCAGTGGAAATCAGAGTCTCTATTTCTCCATCTCTAAAAGGGAGAGGACTCAGCTAGACCTCTCAAATGATGTGCAAAACTCATCATTCTCAGGACTCACTGAGCCCTTCCTTGTGCCCCAGCCCATGCCCAGTGCAGTGAGGGGGGCTCAAGATGAAATGTACCTACTCTCTAGAACCTTCTCCCTGTGTGGTCCTGGCTCAAGCCCTGGGTCTGCCTCTTACCGGCTGTGTGATTTGGGGCAAGTTAGTTAAGCACCAAACCTTGGTTAGTAACACAGGGGTGATGTTGGCTGTGCCCATGAAACACGACTGTGCAGGGAGCCATTAGCCTGGCCTGGCAGAGAGCTCAGCCCCAAGATGGGGGCGAGGATGAGCGCATTGCAAGAGCAGCCTCAGCTGGTTTCTTTGCTCATTCCCAACCTCGGCTTTGGAAGGGCATTTTTGATGAGGGTGGGGCCGGGAGAGGTGCAAGGACAGTTTCAAAGCAACACAGGCCAGATTTCGGGCTCTCCTCGGCTTTCCACTCTTCCGGAACCAGAGCTCCAGCCTGAGCTGGCTTCTCTGTCAACTCCCCGGTCCCTCCCTGTAACCAGCCCCATAAAAAGGGAGCGGGGCAGGAGGGAGTCCGGCTGCAGACTTTGTAATTTGGCTTGGGGGCGGCTCCTGTTCGCTTTAACCAGGCTGTAATTACGGCTGGCACCCAACACCCCTCATTACTGGAGCCTGGAAGGAGGACTCTAATTATAGCATGCTGGGTCCTGGCTGGGGCAGTGGGGGGCCAGGCAGAGCTGGGGGCTGCAAGGCCAGCAAACAGCCCTCGGGGGTGGGGCTACCCTGGGCCGTGGGTGCCTTCCCCAAGGCGCCTCATTTCTCTTGCTTCCAGAGCCTTCCATGGAAAGGGTGGGGCATAGGTCGAATCGGGGCTCCTCCCTCAGGGAGAGGAGGAACCAGAGGAGCCCAGAAGGTTCATTCATTCATGCGAGAAGCGTCTGTTGAACATCTGCTGTGTGCCAAGCTGGCACTGGGGGTCAGCAGTGGGCATACACGTGTCATCCAGCCAGGGGTGGTGTCCAGGCAGAAAGTGCCGGTTAGGCCATCGTGCTGCTGAAAACGGCTGAATAGGTCGACTGTTCTGAGCCTTGAGTGCCCCCAGCTACTCCCCCGGGACCCCCAGTCTCCCCTGGCACAGCGGAGCTCCAGGACCCTGCCCCGGGGCCCACACAGGTGGTTAAATGTTGTATCTGCCCCTGGGACCCCAGAATCTGGCGGGGACTTGGCATTAAATAAGGAAATACACCATGAGTACCTAACTAAGAAAAGGTGCTGAGGGCAATAAGGAAAAGAAATACCGGAGGAAGAGCCAGGGCCCCGGTATAGTTGGGAGGGTGCAGTCAGGGCCGGGCTCCCTGAGGAGGTGACACCTTCAAGGTGAGACCTGAGGACGGAGGGATTCAGCCAGGTGAGGGGTGTGGGGGAAGGGCAGGTGTCTCCACTGGAGGCCAAGAGAATGGGAGGCCTGCAGTCTGGGGTCTCACTCTCTGAGGTGTCCCCATGCTGGGTGGAAGCTTAGACAGTGGTGGGATTTCTCCTGCACCTGGTGCCAAGAGCACTGGGCTGTGCTTAGGTCGGTCACACCCTCTCTGCGCCTTGGCTTCGCCATCTGTCCACAGGAGGCCCCTTCAGGCCACAAGCCCTCCTTCTCTGCCCCCACCCCTGACGAGCAGCAAGTCCTGTTTCAGCGCCGCATTTTGAGATGCGCTGACTATGAAGCTAGGGGCCCTGTAGCGGGGCGGGGGAAGGGGCCTGGGAGCGCCAGGCTGTCCCCGCGAGTTATTAAGAGTCACCCGGAAGCAGACACAAAGGGAATTGTCCTGAGCTGGAGTCGGCCCCTAGCCCCCCGGCCGAGAACAATCGGGGAGGAAAACCTAGGCCATTTGTCCTGCACACAGTGCGGCAGTGACGGCAGCTGGGAAAATGCCGAGTATTTCTCAGCTAAAATTAGCCACCTACTGAACCTTTACATCAAGGGCGCCCTGAAGCCTCCATTGTTTTGAACTGGGGATCCTGGGGGTGGGGGGGATGGGGGCAGGGAGTCTCAGGAGAAACAAGTGACTGTCCCCTCTCCCAGGACCTGGACCAGCCAATGCCAAGCCAACACTCGCACCTCAAGGGTGCCCAATAAGGAGGAGCACGCAGGGGATAGATGGACAGACACAGAGGGCAGGGGTCAGGCCGCCCAAGGTCACTGAGTGTGGGTGGCTGACACAGCCTCTGGTTCCCTACTGGAGACATTCTCCCTTCACGGGTGACACTGAACAGAACCCTGGGCTAAGCTTAGGGGTTTAGAAGGAAGCACAGGAAACATAAGTAAGAAAATAACTCTTCATCCTTTCCAGAGGAAGCAGCCAGAGCGGGCTTCGCTCTTTGCTCGTGGTAGACAGTTTCTACCACTGGAGTCGCAAACCCGGCTCAGAATCTTCCCTCTGCTGCTCAGCGACTGTGTGACTTGGGCCAGTTACTTATCCCCTGAGCGACTGTAGGTAAACAGTGGAGGTAGATAGACATTGTTGGAAAGATAATATAGATGAAGTAGATAGTAACAATGGTAATAATAAAAAAAAATAATGCAGCTTATACTCAATAAGCCCTTTTGATGTGCCAGGCACCGCTCTAAGCAACTTGTGTGTATAGTGTGTTTCCTAGAAATATTATTACTCCCGTTTTGCGGATAAAGGAAACTGAGGCCCAGAGAAGCTAAGTAATTTGCAAGAACACAGGTGCAGGTGATGGGTATCATGATCTTGATTACCACACACCAGGGGCCTGATTCAAGCTAAAGCAAGCGGCACCAAAGCTGCCATGTAATTCCTCTAGTTCCTCTTGAAAGGTCTCCAGCTGAATCATAGAAGTGCTCAGGGAAAGGAGCTGACCTGCATTAAGCACCATTATGTGTGCTAAGTGTTTTATATTTCTGTTGGGAGGCACGGGAGTGTCAAGCAGTAGACCAGCGGCAGCACCTGGGAACTTGTTAGACGTGTACGTGCTCAAGCCCCGCCACAGACCTGCTAAGTGGAAACTTCTGGGTGGAGGCGGAGGTTTTACCAAGCCTCCAGCTAATCCCGGGACATGCTGCAGTTTCAGAACCACTGGCATAGAGGTTAATGAGTATGGTCTTCGAGTCAGGGAGATCCATATTGAAGCACTGACAACCCTGTTGTGTGACTTTAGGCAAGTTACTTAACCTCTCTGTTTCTCAGTTTCCTTACCTGCAAATTGGGGATCAGAATAAGAGAACCTGTCTTGAAGGTTGTTGGGAGGATTCAGGTAGGCGCTGTACTCCTAGTGACCTGCGCAGTGCCTGGGAGTGGGTTGGCCTATAAACAGTAGCTGTGGTTGGCTAAAGGGAAAGATGGGTCTTTGTGGCCAGGGAAGTTCGCAAATCCCAGCTGGAGTGCAGCTCCCCATCCAGTGCAACCAAGTAGGACTGAGGGCCCAGTTAGGAAAGGTAACCCCTCTCTCCCAGGCTGAGGAGTTGGGCACAGCTGAGATGGACCTCTCCTCCCCACCTGGCTGGTTCCTGTCTTTTTGCCTTGAGTGTCAACCAAAAAGACACATGAACTATGTGAGGCTGTTTCCTCCCCCACCCTTTCTCAGGGAAAGAGCAAAGGCATCGCCAGGGAAACTAGATTTGAGAATTATAGTCTGGAGATGGGGCAATTCCCAGCCCCTGGGCTCGTGGGGCGGGGAGCCCTCAACTGCATGCAGGTGGTCTTGCAGTTTCCAGGAGTGGATCCTGGCTCTGGTCCTTGTCACCTGTGTGTTTTTGATGATTCCTTGGAGGCCTCTGGGGAGGTGTGTGCTGCTCTCCATGCCTCTCTCCCCAAGGGGAGGCTTCTGAGCCCAGGCAAGGCAGAGTGCAGAGCTGACAGCCCCACCTCCCTTACCCAGCCTCTGGGAGCCCCAGATTCCTGGCAAGAACCTCTCCCCAACTGTCCCCAGGTCCCCCGAGATATCCACATGCTTTAGTGTCATGTCACACTTTCACACCTCCGGCCCCAACTCTGTGAGGTGGCCTACAGAGATGTTGTGCCCATTTGATGGATCAACAAGCTTGAGGCCCCAGGAAGTGAGCTGGTGGCCAGCCCAGGACTATTCTGGTGTTTTCTTTCCACAGAACCACGCCTCCATCCTTTCTCTTTTCCTCTCTCAGACTTCCTTATCCGTCTTGAGACATCCCTGGAAGACAGTGACAAGTTGAGTGCCTGTTATGTCCAGGCTCAGAGACATGGGACCAGTCCCCTGAAGTGGCACAGTGGCAGAGCTGGGGTTGACCCAGGTCCTACTTACTTCTGAGCTGTGCTCTTATTCATGCTTTTTTTCTGGCTCTTTCCTCCCCTCTGCCCTCACTGGGGCCCAGTCACCACCCCCCGAGAGAAGAGCCCTTTCGTGGCGCACGCGGCCGTGACCTCACACCCTTCCTCTGGCTCTGAAGGCCGAGGTGAGCAGGCCTAG